ACTGAAGCTGAAATTGATTGGAGACCTGGCCTGAACAAGTAAGAACAGAAAAATGTTAAGTACTCTGAACCCCATAGCCCTACTTGACTAAGGGGTTGCAACACACATGAGTGGGGTTATGAGACCCATGGAAAATCAATTATGGCACTGGGGTTCACATGATAAGTAGGTTCATCCACACAAAATGATTAGGAACTGTTGCCCTATATGTCTCAAGTTGGACCCTATAAATTAGAGGTTACTACATTTTGGCATTCATTGCTCTGTGAGTTACGGATACCACCATCACCTAATTTTAAGAAGTACTTAGAAAATAAATCATTAGTGAAGAACTCTGATAAGCTCCATGGAACTGCTTGAAAGAAAATTAATAGGTTTGCATTCAGAGCTGGGCTTGGCTGGCATGCAGCAAATAAGGCCTTGGGACATGCATTAAAGGATAAAAGGAGGATAAAAAGGATAAAGGTGGATAAAAAAGGGACTATGCGCTATGATTCAGGGCCCCAGTGGGGGAAAGAGAGGTATGTGGTCTTTTAATTAAAGACTTTATTCTTATACCCATGTACAAAAGGGCATGGAGAAACATAATCCAGCATTTCCTAATTTAGGGTGATTAAATCTCCAACCCTAACATTCTTTTAACATAGTTTTTGGATACAGTTATATGCAAGGCTGGTATGACCATTATGATTAACATTTCCCAACACCTCTCACTAATAAGACTCCATTTTCAGTTGCTTACAACTTTGCCAACTTTTGATAACTTGGAATTAAACATTACAATGTAAAATGTTCACCAAATTTAACAAATGTCAGCCATAATGTCAGAGTTATTTCCTTAGAGACATGTTAGAGAAAAACACACTTTTGAATACTAAATTCTCCTGATATTTTCTTTAGAAAGCTTTAGTGCTGCCATGCTTTGGAACAGGTGTTGGATAGTCTCTGTGTCACAGAAATTCGTTTTGCTGTCCTTAAAAAAAATTTGCCCAAATTTGGCCAACCTGTAAATCTCTGAGAACTAAGGGTTCACCCATACTCAGTAGACACTTACAAGACCTTTGCAGCTAAAAGATGATGACCGCAAGTTGAGTGAATGTGCTTGAACCTCTCTCATCAGTTGGACGGGGGCTGGGGCAATGTGGGTACCAAGACACCCAGAAATTGCAAGTTCAAGCCCATAGTAAAAGCACTCATGGTAGGTCAGACTACAACTGATCTGCAAATTCTGCTAAATACCTTGTCACAAGGACATAGAAAAGGAAAAGGGAACACCTGTATGCAGCAGGATGGTGTATAGCCTCCACCCCAACAGAGGCGCTCTGCCTATGCCATCTACTGACAGCTCTTAGTACAAACTGGGCTAGAGCATACCATATCTGCATAGGGTGATTGAAGTAGGTTTATCTCAAGGGAACTCCAAACCAGGGAAGAAACAAACAGTGATATTGTGTTTTCAGTGGTTCCTGCTGGCTGGTGCTTGAAGAAGAAACCATCTGGTTCAAAGGCAGAAGGGACATAATTGAGGTCAAGCACTTTATGGGTGAAGGTAAGTGATTGAGACAAGGACCTAAGACTGAAGCTACTTGGAGGGGAGTGAGAAGAGACAGAACTGGCTGGCCAAAGGGATTAGGCTGAGGGAATTCAGGAGTGGAATTGAGGGGAAACAAATAACCAGGGATGAGAACTGATGTGAAGCTAGGATAAGAGAGTGGAAGACTGGGAGACACTACTGTACTGGGAATTGACAATGTGAGCAGTGGGGGAAGTGGTAGATGAACTGGACTCCTGGGTATGAGATACAGGAAAAAAAAACAGACAAATGAACAGGGAGTGGGGAAGAACTGGGAGTGATTGGGCAAGATAGGTTGCAAGTAAGGAGCCTAGGAGTTGAAGTGGGGAGAAATTTGGAATGGCTACACAAAGAGCAATGTGACTAGGGGCGTGTGTAGACAAAATGGGGGCCCTAAATTGAAGCGGCGGGTTTTTAAAAACACCGATTCAATTTAGGGCCAAGTAAACCTCTGTGTTGTGCACGCACCTGTGCACTTACCTGCTTCTCTGGTGGCAGGGAGGGGAGGGCAAGCTGCCGGATGCGTCCTTGGGTTGCAGCTTGCCTGGTGCTTCCCTCCATGGCAATGGCACCCCGCCCCCCCTGGCAGCACCTGCCCGCTTGGGTGGTCCCACGGGCACTGCAGCTGCGAAGGGAAGCACCAGGCCCCTCGCAGCCCAGGGACCGAACACCCAGATCTAAGTTGGAATATCATCCAGGAAGTCGAAAGTAAGCCCCGCACTTAGAGCAGTCTCTCCATTTCTTTAGTCTCTGCCTGCCTTCCCAGGCTGCTGCCAGGCTGTCTGCACGGGCTTCCTGCAGAGCCCATGAGCTGCACAGAGCCCAGTGCTTCACTCTGCCGCTGTAGGGTAGCAAACAACCTCCTCAGAGAAGTTTTCGTTTGCTGTGCCCCAAGTCATTTAAGGCACGTTATACTGCCGAATTTGCTACAGCAGCTGGAATTACTGCGCAGTACACCGCTCACATGTGGAAACACCAGCACCAACACCATTAAAGTGGTGCAAAAGCATTTAACCTGCTTTAAAGTGTTGTGCACACATGCCCGTCATTTCATCTACACATGGCCTAGGAGTCTGGAGAAGGGAAATTAGAATTTAGTGGGAAAGGAGACTGTATCAGAAACCTGATGATTGGAAATTGGACTGGTAAGAAAATGAGAATGGGACTGGGATGAAGAACAAGTGGTGGGTGGAGAGTCTGGACTAGTGATGCAGTAGAAGTCCATTAGTGTGTATTTCTCTGAGTTCATTCTTCTATCTGTCAGTATCTGTGAAAATCACTGACAAAGCATCCCGTTCTCTACTTACATTGCTATCACAGACTCTAGCATTCTAGATGCTAGCTGATGGTAATGATGCCACATTATGAAATTTGCTTTTACAATTTGCTTTATAAAAACTCCAAGGAAATCCAATATAAAAAGAAAATATATTCATAGATTATTCAGATTGCAAAGTCAAATATTTCAAAAGTAGAAAATGGCAGCATTCATGAAGCTTGTACAAACTTAAGCTGACCCTCTTGTATATAGGCATTAACATGACATCTTCATTTGCAATACCACATACAATTTTTTTCACACAGGGGCTTTACCTCACGCAATGGAGGATATTTTATTTATGAGCAGCTAATCAAGATTTTGTTTTCTTCATGTTCAGTTTGGCCATATACCTTCTTTATTGTAGAATATTCAAATCCTACTCAGAAAATGGAATTTATTTCTTCATGGGCTTTTCTGTAGCATTCATCACTACAGGCCTACTACTCATGAATAATAATGAATTTCTTTTCACAACCCTCCTGTGGGATGAGAAGAGACTGTCATCTCCAATTTACAAGTGGGAACTGAGGCACAGACAGTTGAAGGTCAAAAGCATCCTAATTTTACATACCCAATTTGAAATACCTAGGACATCATTTTTCAGACAATTTATAGGCACTATAATTATTTTTTTTTTACTATATTTAACATTTTGAACTTTTTATGTTCAAAGCACACCTTCTGAATTCAAGCTGATGTTTGGCACCTCTGCAAATAAGGATTACAAGTTGGGTATACAGCAAAGGAGGGATCACAAATCAGTGATCACCTTTAAAAAGTTTGGTTTAAGGTCACATTTGCACAGCATCCTATAGAAAGTCTGTGGCATGAGCAAGAAGAGTCTAATTGCAAATAACTTAACCCAGAAGCCACTCTCTCTCTTCCTGCAGTCCTCTCCCTCATTCACTGCATAGCTTCAAACTTCAGCAAAAATAGAAACAAAGATCCTCCAAACAACATGTACCCTCACTTTACAACCCTGATTCATCCCCAGAGCAGGTCCATACTGTGCTTGCTAAATGAGACAGGGATCCTGTGGGGAAAAATGTTATTTGACCATGTAACTAAAAAAGAAAAAAAAAGAAGAACATATTACATTTTCACAGGCAGCCTTAATTTCTGGCATTTCCTCACTTCTGAGTGCCTGACTTTACACCTCTAATAATATTTTTTTAATATAGTCCTTTTTGTGCATGTAACAGAATGAGTCCGGTGAATCGCACTGCCTGCTCTTAAGTTCATTTACTTGTTAAAAACTAGAGTCTTGCTCCTTCCCTAATTACCTCCTCCTTCCTCTGGCTCAGATGTGAACTGTGAAGCATTTTCTATGATGTTTTTTTCCCCAAGAGCTAAAGTGCCATGTTTGCCAATTTCACCCTGTTTTCTCCAGTTTGGTCCAAGACACTTAGGCTTGGTGTCTTTGATGTCATTCTAATATTCATTACCAACATACTTAATCTAATGGTCCCCATCCTTCACCTAATATACATTTATATTTTCAAAGCCAAATCTCTCTGGACTGGCTCTATCTTAAATAATCTCTGCTGCTAACTCACTCAGTTTTTTCAGCCTTGACTCGGCATTTGATTCTTGCCCCTCAACATTAGACCTGTGACAGTCATTGTTTTCTTAGAATTTGAGCTCTCTCATTTGAAAGCCAATTCCCCCCTTCAGCCCCACAAATACAGCCACTCCCTTCCAATCAGTCTATAATTTTTTTCTTTTGTCTTTGGATTATGAGAGGCTCTGTCATGCTCTTTAGGAAGGGTGAAATCTAATTTCAGAACAAACTATTTTTTTTTATTTTAAATTGTTGTGAACAGTATCTTTCATTAAAAAGACAGTCAATTCTGAATCAGTTCAATCTGATCCACTATTTGTGAGCCTTTAAAGGCAATGCAGGAAATTAAAGACTTTCAGAAGCAAAATACATAATTCACGAAAAGCCCTATTCTGTCAGCTTAATTAAGTTTATCATAGAATGCAATATAAAAATCATTAAAGAACATTAAAAAAGCAGTTGTGTGTGAAGAACCAGTACTCCTCTATATTGAAAATTGGACATATAGCATGCATGATGAAATGAAGAGTCTCTCCTTCACTTACTGATGTTTGCACCATCATAGCTCGCTGATCTCGCATTTTTCTTACAATATCCAGTGGATAAACAGGTTGGTTTCTTTCAATTAAACACAGGGCTGTTTCCATAGTGACCAACACACCAGTGCGACCTATTCCAGCACTGCAAATGTAACAGGAAAAGAACACAGAAAATCAGATATTTGCAATGAACCAGAATCACATTACAGGTATAAACTGCAAGGCTTTAAAGTACCCTTAAGAAGTAAAAGAAACACTTTTTAAAAAGATAAGTTACACATCATGTATTTTAGAAGAATTACAAAGAAAATAATCTCCGATTAGTACAAGTAAATTCTTAAAAACAAACAAACAAACAAACAAACAAAGCAGTTTAAATAATGTTTTTCAAAATTTTAACTGTGGGGAAATATGACCCATATTGGTGCTGCAGACTTGAATGAAAAGTTAAAATAAGAATAATCTGTTTTTGAGGGGTACTGGAATAGCAGAAACAAAGTAGAAGTTAATATCAGTTCTGATGTAATATCACTATTATACAGCTATAAACTGGAGAATAAATTATTTACTACTTTCTACATCATGTTTTTGAGACAGCCACACACCCTCTGGGTGCAGGCTTGGAAGGGACAGTGATAGAAGAGGGGGAAGAGGTCTCTCTTGGGGATGAGGCAAGGGAGTGGGAATGGAAAGAGATTTCTTATATCTGGATGTAAATCATAATTGGGAAGCATGTTTGGGTTTGGACATACAGTTTGCTTTCATGGGTGTTAAGCAGGTAAGGTGAGGGGAGAGGTGGAATTTTCAAGTTTTGGGGGTTGTTTTGGGAGTCTATTTTACTTTCCTATATGTGGGTTCTCTGTCTATTACTGTAAGCCACCAAGTCTTTTGGATAGCGTGGGATATACATGTAAATCTAAATCATCATCTGATGGTCAAACAATTGTTCAATTTCAACAGTAGGCTTTAGTTATGTAGGAGACAAGGGGAATGAAAAGGAGCCCATCCTTTACATACCAGTTTTTGTCTCCACTGATAAACAGTAACTTATTTTTTTTTATAGTCTTACAATTTCACCATCATTCAAAGAATCTGCTGCAATAAAAATGCATTGAGAAACATCTTTCTACAAGAGAACTGGAATTCAGATCCTGTAGGGCAGCATTCAGTGCAACAAAATTTTAAATGAGTACCTGCAGTGAACAAGGACTGGCTCGTTTTTTACTCTTTTTGGCCTCATACAGTTCACAAACTCCAAGAAGTCCGTGGAGTCATCAGGAACACCGTGATCAGGCCAAGCAACGTACTGGAGATGGGTAACTATGTGTTCTTGCTCTGTCTGAAATAAAAGAATAGTGTCATCACACTATTTAATTAGAAAATTCTGTGTTAAGGTCCCTTTAATGAAACTGATTAGCTTGTATTGCGACAAACCTACCTAGGTTGATTTTACACACACATTATACAGATTATGAAAAAAACTACAGGATTTTCCAACCAATTTGTTTTTTCGTATTTAAAAAAATACAAGTTTATAGAGAAACTACATGAGGCAACAGCATGTAATTCCTAGTTTTATATTTCATGAAAAGATGGTACCTGCAGTGGAACAGCCTCCATCATCAATAACACACTGAAATGTTCATAGAGAAGTAGGGCTAGAAGGGACCTCCATATGTCATCTTATCATTATGCAACCAATGGAAAAGTATGCCCACAACAAACAAACAAACAAACAAACAAACAAACAAACAAACAAACATCAATCCTCAGTCCCTGGACACTCATAGGTCTTCACTAACAGCACTGACTGAATACAACCTTTCTTTCTTACTGTGCTGTAATCTCACTAAATCCCATTAGACAGTATAGTTGCAGACCAGTTCTAAATCTGTCTTTACCCTTCATCCTCATCTGTCTCACACACTTATGAAAAGGTAGAAACGTTAAACAATATATACATTTACAGATTTAGACAAAGCTTACAAATTAGTATTTGCTAACTTAAATTCTTAGCTGAGTTAAAGTTTTACACAACATGTAGATATTTCACAGAAAATTGTGAAATAATGATATTTATACTGCCAAAGAAAGCACTTTATTCAGTAGGGGTGTGCAATGTGGGCTGTATTTGATTCGGTCCAATTTGAGGGAAAAGGATTTGATTTGTTGATTTGGATCAATGTCCCAATTTGATTTGGCCGAATCCGAAGATTCAATTCTGATTTGGAGAATCAGCGATTCAGCCATAGACACAGTTTTAAATGTTTTTTCTATGTACGGTGCCCCCCCAGGCTTGGGAGGCACCAGTCATCGAGCTGGGGGGCAGCGGGGGAAGGGGATCCCCCGTGCACCCCACAGCAGATGCGGAAGTGGACCGGAAGTGCTTCTGGTCCACTTCTGGGTCTGCCGCGGAATGCACTGGGGACCTCCCCCCGCCGTGCTCCCATGGGACGCTCCATCCAAAATCTCAGCGTTCATGAGCTGCCTAGTACCTTGAGGTATGTAGAAAAAACATTTAAAGCTGTGTCTATGTCCAAATCATCAACTCTTTCCAAATCAATTTGGAGGGTTCCAATTCCATTTGCAGAGATTAAAGGGTCTCTTGATTTGATTCAGATTCAGAGATTCGGCTTCTGAATCTCCACCAAATCCAATCAGCGACCAAAGCTTCGCACAGCCCTATTATTCAGCATGATGAAAGTGTAATTAGTTTTGCGATTCTATTGTATGAAGAGCATTTTTTCATTTAACTGCATCACATCTCAGAACCTTCCATTGCTTTACATGCTATTGATTCTCATAACACAAGAGCAACTCCTCAAACACATTTAAATGGGTTTTAGTTACGTGGCGCTGCTGTGCCAACAGAGAGTGCCTTCACTCCTGCACCCTGCCCGACAGGGCCTCGTAAATGTGGACATTCAAGCACCTGCTCCGTGCTAACTGCCTCTGCACATCAGCTCGGTCTCAGAGCACCACAAAGTTGCGCACCTCCTCTCAGATCCAGATGGGGGCCCTGGCAGTTGGTATGGGTATGTGCAGATGGGTGGGGCTGGGGCTCAACATAGTGGAGGATGACAATATGGTCATCCCGTTCTGCCTCTCTGGGCCTTTGTGCAGCTGTCCCTGCATGGTCAGCCCTGGATGGTTGCCACAAGTGCCCAAGCCAAGGGCATGGTCAGGGACTGGGAGCTGCATGGCAGAGACACTTCACCATAGGACCTCCAAGCGTAGGAGATAGCTGGGGGTGAGTGGGAGCAGGTGCTGGCCCTGCAGCCAGAGACAGCCAAGCAGTAGCACTGTGGGGGTCTTAGGGCTGGGCAAGGGGTGCAGCAAGCTGGAGCCCTTTGCAACACTCACCTGTGGCCAAGCAGCAGTTTTGGAGGAGGACAGGCCAGGCAGAGACTGTCTGCAGCCTGTCCAGGGGGGCACACGGAGCCTATTGAGCTCCTGGGGAGGGAACAGGCTCCTCCAGGCTCCTGTGATGTATGCCCCAGGGCACAAAATGGCTGCAGGCTTTTATAGCCTGCAGCTAGGGGATGCCAGAGAGCAGCCCAGCCCTGAGGGAGGAGAGGTGGCCAACCAGGAGGCCCCTAGTGGTTGGGCAGACCCAGCAATAAAATTAGTGATGGGTCGTGTCTACACATGTGTTAATGCGCTTTAACTAATCGTGTCTAAATTTGATACCTGCATTTGCTCCCACACTCCTCCCCAGGGGTGTGGCAGGCTACGCATTTTCAGGTATCAAATTTTGACGCGATTAGCCCAAATTCATCATTTTTAATGTGCATTAAGGGCATGCATGTGTTGATGCATGCTCTTAACACGCATTAAATTAGGCTAATGCGCATTAACATGTCTCATGTAGATGTGCCCTTTGTGTAACTTTTTAAAACCTGTTTTTCAGTGATTTGGGGAAGTGTATTGTGGTTTACTGGTCAACCTGGAAAATGATGAGTGGTTATGCTCCCAAGCATTGTCTCATGGGCCATGGACACTTCTAATGCTTTAAATGTCCACAAAAAGGAAAAAAAAATACAGGCATCATTCACACTGTCAGAAGCACAATAAAAGTAGCAGATCCATAACAGAATTGTTTCTCTTTCAAAGACATCTTTTTTATAGCAGGATATTTTGTAGCACCACGTGTAATACTTTTTTAGTTAAATGTAGTGCTATAGGGCATCCTTTGGACCTTTAGCATTATGCAGTCCTCCACGCTCCCTCCCTCCCTCTTGGAGGGGAGGAGGGAGGGAAAGCAGATGGGTCTTAGACAGCCCACCGTGGTACATTACGTAGTCAACTCTGTTACAAAACACAAGGCATAAAGCCCTGGTTTACCACAGGTAAGGAAGGGGGCCACAGCAGCCAATATCTTGTGGCTACAAAGGTTGTGAAAATATGTTCAAGAAATCCAAGGAATAGGGCCATGTTGCCTGCTACAGAGAAAGGCAAAAAACCCCCACAGTCTGTACCAATCTGACCCCAACCATGGGGCAAAATTGTTTCTTGACCCCAAATATGGTGATCAGTCCAACCCTAAGCAGAGGGACAAGACCCTTTAGCCTCAAACCTCCAGATTCAAGTCCCAGGAGGTACACTGGCATACCCCAGTCAAAATCCTCAGCATTGGCTGCAGCCAACACCCAATGCTTCCAAATGGGAAAACAAAACAAACAAAACAAAACAAAGCAAAGCAAAACAAAGAACAAATTCTGACACACGTAGTAAGAGGAGGGGGGAAAAATTCTCTCTCAACCCCATGTGGTAACCAGTGAATTCCAGAAACATGGGGAAAACCCACAGTAAAGCACAAACATAGCTACTCCTAGACAAATACTTGTCCAACCTCTTCTTGAACACCTCCAGTGATGGAGATTCAACAACTTCCCTAAGGCAGTCCATTTAATTTCCTCACTCTTTTAACGGTGAAGTTTTTCTTGATATCCAATCTAAACCTCAACTTCAAGCCACTAGTCTGTGTTCTGTCTTCTGCAGAGAGTGATAGAGATATTTTCCCTCTTCTTTATGGCAGCCCTTCAAGTATTTGAAGGCTGCTATCACGTCCTCTCTTAAGCACATTTTCTGCAAACTGAACATGCCTACAAGTATTTCTTTCAACCTCTCCTTGTATGACCTGCCTTCCAAGCCCTTTATCTTTTTTGTTGCCCACCCTTAATCCTCTATAACTTCTCCATGTCCTTTTAAAAAAATGTGAAATTCAAACCTGCACACAATACTCTAGATGAGGTCTAACCTGCTCCAAGTAAATATCACATCCCGTGTTTTGCATCTAATGCTTCTAGTGATGCAGCCCAAACCTCATTCACCTTTTGTGCAATGACATTACACTGCAGAGTCATATTGAGTCTGTAATCCACCAAGATTCCTAGATCCTTCTCTGTAGGGCTGCCAAGTATCACTCATTTTGTATTTGTGTTTTTGGTTATACTTCCTGAGGTCTGCATTTGTAAGCATTGAACTTTAGCTTCAGCCCAGCTTTCCAATCAGCCAGGATCCTTCTGAAATACACTCCTGTTCTCTGACATATTTGCAGTCCTTCTCAATTCAGTGTTGTCTGCAAAGTTGTTCAAGAAGGTTTCTATACTAGCATCCAAATCATTAATAAACAGCAAGCATTGGCCAAGACAGATCCTTGTAGGACTCTAGTTGAAATCTCTAGCCATTCTGACATGGATCCATTTATAAGTACACCTTGCTTGTGGCTATCAAGCCAGTTGTCTATCCACCTTACAATAGTTTTGTCAGGCCCATACTTTTCCAACTCGTTTATAAGGTCAAATGGGACTTTGTCAAAAGCTTTACTGAAGTCCTGATACACTATATGTACTACATTCCCTTCATCTACCCAAGTAGTTATTTTGTTAAAGATCAAGTTTGTTTGTCACAATTTGCTCTTAGTAAATCCTTACTTGCTATCAGCCTTTCCTCATTCAAACGCTTACACTGGAATGTCTGTATACCCCCACAGCACACAGTTTTTGTAGTGATAAAGTGCTAAGGCACCACAAACAAACATCTGTCCACACCCATGGTGTCAAAATGAGGTGTAAGAGATTAAAAAAAATCTTCACAATGCTCTCTGTCTTCTAAGTTTTCAGCAACAGCACAATAGTGATACTGACACTTAAATATTAGCTGCCATCATTGCTCAGTTTGAAACAAATGGGGAAAATTCACACTGCTGTCACACTTTGGACGGCATCACTTCATTAATTTTCACTCATTTTCTAGAAGTGTGACGTTTTCCTGGGTGGTGCCATGTAAGTCCTTTATGCTAATGCAGAGTATGTGTTCTAATAATAAGACTCAGCT